TTATATAATATATTAATTATAATGCATATTATATAATATATTAATTATAATGCATATTATATAATAGATTAATTATACTACATATTATACAGTACACTAATTATAATGCATATTATATAATATATTAATTATAATACATATTATATAATATATTAATTATAATGCATATTATATAATAGATTAATTATAATATATATTATACTAACGTTGACGATGTTGAAATAAAATGGTAATTGCTTTCTTTATTGATTTTAACTACCTTGAAGTTTACTGTCCAGGTCTCATCGTTTTAAACTACTTTGTCGCCGATCTAATCTAAACCTCGCATAAGTCTGATACAGTCATTTCTGAGATACGACTATAGGAAATTACTGTACACGATTATCATTAGAGTTTGTTGCTTCTTTATCAAAACTTCAAGGCATTGTCTGTTTTTACTCGATTATTTCATTATTTATTATTATCGATTAACGTAAATAGACTGATTTCAGATGGAACCGTCAACTTGCTTCACCGCTGTTTGTACGAACACGATCAAGAGATCCTGTCGAAGCTTGTAAAAATAAACGGACAATTGGAATACTGATTCAACGAGTTTTATTTTGTCGAGACCGTTTTTTACGTTTCATTCGGCAAATATCCTTTCTCGTGGACTAAGTTTTTACTTACGTTTCTGAAATGCTTTCTATATGTGCCAGTGATCATGAAAGTGGCTCGGGTGAAAAAAAACGCAACGAAATGGACGATATAATCGATGAAATATCAAACGAAAAGAAAAATAATACACAAAGCTGTAACACCACTTTCATAATGATCGTCACACATGCTGACGTGACAAAAGAAGCTTGAAAAGCGCAACAACGGCATGTATCTAATGAAGAACGTAGAAATAGATGTGAGAGTCCCATTTCAAGAGAAAAAAAAGCATCTGTTCGTTAAAACAAAAATCTGGGATCTGTCGTCGCTTTCGTTGGGCTACGAGAATCGGAAGCGAAACTGTGCGAAAAAATGGCACAATCGGAAAAATGCAATGGATATCAATTCATTACTGCCCGCAACTTGTAATGTGTTACCATTTCGATTAGTCGTTGTAAATAAAGGAGTAACATCATTGAAATCGATGTCATCTCATTGTTTGCGAACGCATTTATAATTACAAATAATTTCTGGAATAAATAGATTCGAAGGAAGAGAGAGATTGTCCATTGGAACAGTTCCGTTCGTTATCGTAAAACATTTCTGAAGTTGTATTAGTAACAGTATTTTTGATGAATTATCGAACATTCCAAACAAGAAGCTGAACAACGATTTTGTAATAATAGCTCATCGAAGTATAAGAAACAGATTACGATGCGATGTTTGAACTACCATAGGTAAATATGTATGTTTATGCAGCATGAATTGAAAGAGAAAGTGAAATCGAGATTCCGTAATTTCTTTCCAGTATGTAGAAACATATATATATATTTTTATACAGTAAATTACCGCGTAAAGAGATACGAATACAAAAAGATCGAATGACGCGATCGATAGCGGTCTCTGTAAAAACAGGATATTAATGAAGATTATGCACTATTAAACAATATCATGTACAATATTAACAGTTTACAACAAAGAAGAAAATAGAGGTCAACGTGGCCTACTATCTCGTGATTGTTCTTTCGATATTTCACTTCGATTGCACATGTTAACTTCGAATAATATACAAAAAAGAAAAAGCTTAAGCGTTCCATTCACAGTTCTCATTGAACAAAAACCAAACTCAGTGATCATCGACTCGAGTAAATTGGCACGATTAGATACGGAAATTAATAGGAATTGGAATGATATTAATAAATTTAATATTATTTATTCCTATTAATTTATTATAGGAATAATATTAATAAGAATTCAATTAATTAATAATTAATTAATAATTAATTAATTGAACGTCTAATCGGACTGTAAAGTCGGAGGAAATCACTAATTAAAGATTTAACTTGCAACGATTAAAAAGTTCGTGTAAAAATTCTATGCTCGGAATCAGAAATTTTTGACCGGTGCCCAATATTTCGGTCGCACTAAAAGCACCATGGTTAGAAGGTATAATAGCAACTTCTCCCTCGTGTAAAAACAATAAAGTAAAAATATCAAAATTCTTCGGTATGCAACCGTTAGCTGCTTCCTCTATTCTGTAGGCACACTATATAAGTTTTTATACTCTACCTCAACACTTTTCTTTCTTTCTTTCTTTCTTTCTCAATTATACTTGCCCAATCGAATAAAATTTCAAACCCGCGCAGTCTAATGTTTCCCTTCAGGTACCTGCGTATGTAATTCTATATACAGGGAGAGCCATGAGAAACGGAACACCTGAATGTTTATTTTGCTCGAAGATAGAAGAAAATGTTCAAAGCAGTCGTTCTATCGAATTTTTTGCTCGACGTTGTTCTTAAGGATGATTCGACGAAGGTCATCGGTGTTTCTCCAAAAGTCTGAACTCATTCAAACCCTGGACGATAGTAAATCGGACCATTGAAACAGTCTCGACGTCGACGAATATTCTTAAAAAACAAACAAACAACATTTTAGTTATCCAGCACTGCTAACGTACCCCGTTAAACATTTTGTTTCGTCCGCGACTCGAACAGACATTTAGGTGTTCCATTGCCGACGACTGCTTCCTATACATGTAATAAGAATCCAACTCGAATTCGATATTCGTAACACCTATCCTGAACAACGAGTGTCAATATCGTCTACTGTAATTAGAATCTTGAATGAAAGTGTGGATATCTATCTATTTGGAAAATGGGAATGCAAGAAAAATCAAACGTCTCTAACCTCGCTACACCCAATCATGCGATTCCACAATACAAGAGAGCTACTTAGTCTCCGGTTACGCTGAGTCGCACGGCTACGCTACCTTGGCGAGACACGTTGGCCCGTGCCATCGACGTGAGAATTCGCTTTATAGCCACATTTTTGTACACGTCTAGACAATCTTGCGACCCAGTATTTCTGCTCGTCTGGACTACCAGCTAGGATTAATAATTCACGGGCGCTGTTCGGGTCATAGTGCAATTTGCATGGTGCTATGGCATCCTCCTTCTTGTCCAAATGCTCCTTGTGCACTTTTATGTGACACCCTGGGGAAAACGAATCGGTTTACTAGAGTTTCAATGTAAGCGGAGAAGACGTTGATCTCATGGACAAGGAAATGTGATAAATAAATTCGGATATCATCGAGTGAATAAATCGATGCACTGCTTTCTTTCAGTTAACCGTAATAACTTACTTCGACACTCGAGAGCCGGCGGTGGTCGGAACATATGCCACAACTGTTTCGAACATACTTCGCAAGTCGTCGGCATATGATAAGATATAGAAACAAATTCGTGGCCTTTTAACGACTGTGTGCCTGGCTTGTCAGTAAGTTGTGGCAGTTCCACGCCAGGCAATGTGTTTCCTTCGTCACCAGGACGCCTTGCCTCGCCTTCACCAGCGTACAACAACTATAAACATTGAAACCACGATTGAAGTTGAACCACGACGCACAGCTGATCAAAACTTGATGGTAGTACTGTTAAATTATCCACCTGAAAAATTCTCGGAATATCTTTGGCATCGGCTCGAATGACATCGCCATGAGTAACGGATCTAACGTGGAAGACTTTATTTAGATCCAATATCAGAACTGGATCGGCGTTCAGCTTATCGTTCTCGCTGTTATAAAATATTATCTTCTTCGAAGAGACGACAACGTATTGCTTCTTCCACCCGTGCCTTTTAATATTTTGTTTATTTGGCACATTTAGCCAGCCCTCCAGCCTCATGGTACCGTGTTCCGATAAGACAGAATCCTCCCCATCATTCTCGACTGACGAGACGCTGGCAGTCTCCGAATTCAACGACGCGATCCTCATTTGCAACGTTTCTATTTCTGAATCCTTCGAGTCAAGCTCCATTTGTAACCTTAATTTCGCTTGATTTTCTTCTACCAATTGTGCCTGTGTAAAGATTATGTCAATAGCAAGGACATACGAACATACGTCTACTAAGAAATTAGTAATGCTTTTCTGCTTACCTGTAGATCTTGCAAATCCTTTTGCCATTTAGCTGCCAACTGTCCATACTTTTCCCTCTCCTGCGTAAGTTCTTGTTGCAAACGTCTGCAATCTTTCTCCTTTTTCCTCAGGTCTGCCGCGGACGCTTTGTTCTTTGTCTTACCGCTCGATGACAAATCTTTCCTGTTCATAATCTCCGCCAATTTGTTCACCGCTTGTTGCTTCAACAGTTGCTCGGTTTTCAATTTACTACTAAGTTTATCTATGTCTTCGGCGTTCGACTGTGCTTTAGTAAGTTGATCTTGTAACTCCTTAAGTCGCTTGCTCAAGTCATCTTTCTCTTTGAAGTACTGATCAACGTTCTTCTTAAGCTCACCTTCGCTGTCTTTCAGACGATTTATGACCTGTTCCTTAGAATTCAGTTCCTGATGGTGCTTGGCCACTCCGTCTTTGTATTCTAATTCCTTCATTGTTCGTTCTTTCTCAAGATCCGCCACGGTTTCCTCGGCTATTGATCTTGCTAAAGCTTCGCTGTCTCCTCTAGCCAGCGACAATTGCAACTGATGCACCAGAGAGCTGCGCTCTTCTTCTAACTCCTGTTGCAACCGCAATTTTTCGTCAAGCTCCTCGCGAAGTTCTTGTGTCTGAGTTTTATAAAGGGTCTATGAAGAAATGATCGGATTAGATAACAACTGCGAAATAGAAATCAAATGGTTTCCTGAAAGATAGTATGAAACAAATGATTACCGAGAAGTAAGCTTCCGCTTCTAGTTGCTCTTGCAACTCTTTCGTCTGCAACTGGTCCACGTTTCTCTGCGTTTTCAAGTGATGCAATTCTTCTTCTATTTGCCGTTTTGCTTCTCTCAATTGAGCAACTTCGCTAACCAATTGTTGCTCCCTTGCACGTAATCGTCCAGCTTCGGATGACTGTTGCGCCAAATCAGTCTGCAGAACGTTTCTTTTCTGCTGTTCCTGTTCGACCTGACCCTGTAATACTTTTACCTTCTCTACCTCTTGCCTATGCTCACCCTCCAGTTTCTGCAGTCTCTGTTGTATTTGTCGGTAATCCACAGAAAGCATAGACGTTTGTCGCTCCTTCTCTTGTGCAAGCAATTCGGCACGTTGTCTTCCACTTTTCTCTTCATTTAATTTAGCTTGTAGCGCTGTCAAATTATGACATTAATATGATAACAACCAATGTAAAGTTTTTTTTCTTAGTATTAATACTGCAATGTACTACATACATAAACCAGGTAATACCAGGTAATAAAAAGGTAAGTGGAGGCAGCAGAAAATAGAAAAAGTTACAATTAGTAATCGATTAAATTTAATGTAAAAAAGATAAGACAACATTTAAATAAAATACGAATCAATGAGGACGTATGTCCATTACCTTCAATTGTTCTACTCTTTCGCCCTGATGCGCATATTAGAACGAGAATGTATATTTTTGTCACAGGGAATATCAGAAAATATGCTCATCAAAAAATGAATATATTACCTTTGACAACTTCTAAATTCGCTTCCTCTTTAGACAAAATACGAGAACGTTCTGTTTCTTGATGAGCCACCACTTCTTGATTGTATCTGGCCTGCGCTGCTTTTAGTTCAAGAGTTAAACTGGCAGCTTCTTTCTCCAATGCTGAAATCCTTTCTGTTAATTGTCTATTGTCCGAGATCGCTTTTTCTTCTTTCTCTCGACTGTGTTCAAGTTCTAGGTGAAGAGTGGACAAACGACTTTCCAATTCTGCGGTTAAAGACGACGCTTGCGATCGAGAACTACGCTCTTTCGACAATTGTCCCTTAAAAAAGAAAGCAGAAACAATTATAAAGAAATCTGATGTATATAAGTTGATATAAAGCTGAATTTCAAAAAAGTATGAAATATTACGAAATCATATCAGATAACAATTAAAATGCTCACTTGTAACGTAGCCACTTCTTGCTGTAAATTATCTCGTTGTGTCTGTAACTGTGCCCTTGCCACCTGCAGTTCGTTCGCCATTTGTTCCGAAGCCTGTCGGGCCACAGTAATTTCGGTAGCTTGTTTCCGCAGTCTCGTTACCGTTTCCGTTTCTCTCTCCAACTTCGACTGCATCTCTTTGATTTGTTTTTCTAAACTTGCGACACGCTCAGAAGTTTGCTGTGAATTGCTCGCGTCGCGTGCCCTCTTCGTTTGCTCTTCATCAAATTTCTTTTTCAATTCTACGAATAATGACTCGGCCTTCCTACGTGATTCTGTCTCGTGCTCTACTCTACGTTGTGCTTCTTTATAATTATGTCGTAGTAAAGTCAGTTCCTTGTTCGCTCTACCAATCTCTTCCCGCAATTCCGTCTCCCGACGTGTCATAGCTTCTAATTGCATCGTCAAAGCTTTCTGCCTCGATTCCAAGGACTCCACTTGTCTTTTTTCTCGATCCAATAAATTTTCTAATTGAGATATCTTAATATCATCGCTTGTACCGTTATTGATATGATTTTCTAACCCGTCTACAGACTCTTTGCCACTAGAAGCCATCAACTGATAATCTCCCGAATACGTGAAACCGATAAACGGTAGATGGTTCCCGGAAAATGCTTTCGGTACCGGAAAACTCTCCTCCGGTCCATCCTCTTTGTCAACGTCGTCGAAATTACTCGTATCATCATCGCCAGAAAGCTCAGGTACGACCGGTGGCACGCATTCTCGTAAATTTTCGAAAGTCCACTGGTCATTCTCGAAGAACGGATGTCTTTTAATCTCATCCACACCGTTTCTTCCTAGACGTTTTGTTCTATCCGTAAGAAAACCACATATTAAATTCTTGGCAGAATGGGAAATATCAACTTCTTGGGGGAAGTGTAGTGAGTTTCTATGGTCCATAATTTTTGAATATGTTCCAACTAATGAGTCCGCATAAAAAGGAGTATCACCAACAAGCATTTCATATAAGAACACACCAACTGACCACCAATCACATTCTCTTCCATATACACCTTCACCACCTTGAGATTGAAGTACTTCAGGTGATATATAATCAGGTGTACCTACTGCAGTATCAGACCGAACAAGTCCGTCCTAAAACAGGCAAAGTATGATAATGTATATTTTTCGAATTTGATATGCTGCTACACAATTTTAGCAGAAATGTTCGTAAGAGTATGCTTACACTATCCATTCTCATGCAAGTACCAAAATCGGCAAGTTTCAAATGACCATGTTTATCGAGCAACATATTATCTGGTTTTACATCGCGATGAACGAATCCCATCAGGTGTATTGCGTCTAGTGCAAGCACCACTTCTGCACAATAAAATGTCGCCCACTTTTCTGGTACTTCATAGTTAGACATTAAGTTTACTAGATCGCCGCCCGGCATATAGTCCATCACCATATAGAGATACTTTTGATCTTGAAACGCAAAATGCAGTTGAACTATCCATTGGGAATTTGCATGTGCCATTATATCACGTTCTTCCCAAAAAAAGGCTGAATCGGATCTTTTGATCTATAAAGAGTATATATATTTTAAATATATTTTTAATACGCAATACATATTTTACGTATATTTATATGGATTCCTTACCATTTCAAATTTACTGAGTAACTTCATAGCATACACTTTTTGCGTAGACTTATGTCGTACCAATTGTACTTCCCCAAATGCCCCACGGCCTATCACTTTTATTAAAGTGAAATCATCCATGCGCATTCGCATTTTACAAATATCATGAGCCACCGAGTCATCTAAAATTCAAAATAATTTCTTTTGCACTCCGATCGTTCGACACGAACATCCATAATGTATTAACTCGAGAGACGTAATCAGATCCTACATTATTATTAAATATTTTATTCTTTTAGGGATTTAGAATTACTGTTTTCAGGGAAAACAAAGTACTTATATATTAACAGAGAAGTACTTACATCTATTCATATATGCTTCTATATTCTTCATTCGTTTTACACTAGGATGATCACAATCTGCTACCAAGGCTTGGACTGTATCCAACAGGCAATCGATATTTGTAACACTTCTTGGATCTCTTATACGATCTTCCAGCACCCTCAGGCGCCTGCGCCTGTCTTCGTCTCTCAATGCATCCATTTCTTTGATTCGAAGCTAAGAAGTAATTTGCCTCAAAAATGTATTGTCCCGTGCGATGCATCAAAAGCAATGCAGAACGAAAGACTACATGTAGTGTGAGTAGAATTTAAGCACTGTTGCAATACTAGATGGGCAGTCCATGTTTCCTGGAGGAATAAAACAATATTAATAAAACAGAGCTCGCATAGCTCCAAAAATGTTTGTATTAGATATAAGGATTTGAAGTATTAAACATCTACTATATAGATCTGAGATAATAACACTCATTTTAATGTATATCTAATCATCAGAGATACGGCCAATGATAACAAGAAATCAAGTTAATTACTAGTGCATACATTGCACTATAAAAATAATTTCAATACAATCAAACAAAAACACTGCCCAAAAGGAACGAGAAACGAAATTCTCGCTTCAATTTTCAGCCATAAGTATGAACAAATTCGAATAAACTAAAAACAAAAAATCCAGAGAGTACTGAATACCGAGGAAAAAAGTTGTTGATGAACACTACAATACATACTATATGATGGATTCAATATGATTTAAACAAAGCCAACAATCATTAAGAAACACTGATTGTCAAACTGATCCACGAAGACGAATCGTCCAACAAATACTTCACGTGATATATTTCACTCCAAGAATCGAGTGTTTTCAACTTGCAAACAAAACTATACTAACGAGTCTTGTCACTTTCATTGAAAAGAATTTTCACGACGAGAATATAACTTGTGTAAATTCTCGAACAAACACAAAGCTTTACAACTGTTTAGCATTTTCATGTCCAAATGGAAACTAAACGTTTCACGAACTGACAAGTCGAGGAAGTCTGTCAGGAAGCTTGTAGAACTAAGGTGGATCCCATGCAGGTGCTTCTAAACCCGTCACAAAAGATCTTTAACGTATCTCGCATATTCCACGGTCAGTTAATTAATGACAGCAAAATATCTGCTTCAACATACCTAATATTACGAATACCGTGTCCAGTACACCTTCTACTTCGATAAAAATACTGTAAAATACATTATTTTTCTAATAAATTGCTCGCGATTGCACACAGCTGAGCTGTGCATGCGCCATTGGGAAAATTCACAACGGTGGTCAAAGCCATTGAAAAATCCGCGGAAAACTTAAAATTCTGTGACCCGTTCCGTGGTTGCACGTAACGTACGTACCAAGAGAAGTCACAATTTATATTCGAAAGATTGAAATTACGTCAGCTAAATGTTCTCCGACCGTTCGATTTAAAATTTCCTTAACATGTTCGATGAAATTATTAGTTTATACGGTAAAATCCACACCACTTGTATCGTTTCTTATACAGAAAAATGTACAACATCGAAACCACCCTTTTCTCATGCATGCATTATTATTTCGTTCGAATTCGGATTCGGATAATTTTCGAACGAATTATCGATAACCACGGTGAAGTCGTTGAATCGGAGCATCGACTTCGGAAAAACGACGTAATGGAGTGTGAGAATAATCAAGATGGCGTAGCGTTCACGCAGCAAGTTAGATGCGGATTTCTGTCAGTTCGAAAACTGCTCGTTGTTCTCGAATTTCAAACGAACGACCGCCTCGACCGGAGAAATTCCGTACGGGTGCCACGATCGATGATCATTCGATGAATCACATGAGTCTGTTTCGCAACGGAATCTCAGGTATTACATGAAAAAGTGACGGCGAATTCAAACATCCGAATGCATGCAGTTTCAGCAGAGAGTGCTCACGCCCGAGAATTCGTCGCCTCCGGGAAAGTGCTGCACCAAGCGGCTGATTCGAAAGAAGGTAGGAATCTGCCCGGTTTCATTCGACTGGCGGACTTAAAATTCATACGTACCGCATCAAATGCATTTTACCACCTCCGATGCAAAATCAACTACCCTGGAAAAATGCTCCGATTCTAAAGACATTTTTTTCTCGTTAGAAAAAGCAAGTTAATACGTGGAACTTGTAAGTCCATTTATAGATTATACCCGGTTCATGAATTTATAATTGCGTTTCTAGTATAAAATAGTCTAAAATATCAATTGTACAGATCTAAGAATTTAATTCCACCTGATTTTAATTCATACTACATTTGATGGTTACAATAGCGCGTTATTGTACGGTAAATTGTTAAGAAAAATGTTTTCGTTTCTCGTTTGACGCTATAATATTTTAGCACACTACTGTTTAAACAATTTAGACACTTTAATAAGAGAAAAAATGATCTTACCGTTGAGGCGCTATTGTCGCTCTTTTTGAGTGTCCGCCATAACAAAACTGCAACACCGTACAGTAGTGGACTCTATTTGGATGGCAGAGAACTAAACTTATAAATTGTTGGTAACATGGTATAACATATATGTATAATATCACGAACGTGGTACATATATGTGCAGCGATAATATTAATTATTATATGTATAATAATATAATAATATAATATTAATTATTATTATATGTATAATATCACGAACGTGGTACATATATGTGCAGCGATAATATTAATTATTATATGTATAATAATATAATAATATAATATTAATTATTATTATATGTATAATATCACGAACGTGGTACATATATGTGCAGCGATAATATTAATTATTATATGTATAATAATATAATAATATAATATTAATTATTATTATATGTATAATATCACGAACGTGGTACATATATGTGCAGCGATAATATTAATTATTATATGTATAATAATATAATAATATATAATAATATAATATTAATTATTATATGTATAATAATATAATATTAATTATTATTATATGTATAATATCACGAACGTGGTACATATATGTGCAGCGATAATATTAATTTATTTCTACTTAAAGAACATTCTGATAAAGAGCATCCAATGTAACATTTACTCAGTTCTATCGTAAAACATGGAAAAATGTAAATAGGTAGAAAGGGTGCGATACGAATTTAGAATGGACACGATTACAGTAAGGATCGTTTTTATAAAATAAATCGTACATTGCCCGCATCGGCCCGCATTGGTCTATCAAATTTGTGCATAAAATATATCGAACACAATAAGTGTAACATTTATTATATTTTATAAAAAGTTTCATAAGATCGTCGCTGGATTCAGTATACAATTTCTAACGTACCTTAGAAATAGTGCAGTATCTATTCTCTTCTATTATGAGGGGGGAGGAGGGGGGCAACGTTAATTACATTATAATGTCAATTAATAGTAAGCTAAAATTACGATTTCTTATGTACAATCAAGGACATATCATCATGCGTAAACTGCCTAACGAAAAGTTTACGAGACCTTATTCTCTTTCCAAGCCGAAAGATTTGGCGACCCGCTCGTGTGTATCGTACAATTTATCATATTATTTCTGAAATTGATTAAATTAAAATTAAATAAATTTCTGAAATCTCGTTAGCATCGAATTATTTTCAACGACGTTCCCGTACACAAATAACAGACTTACAAGAAACGATCTCGCAAAAGGAACGCTCTGGGCTGCATCAGATGCACTCTGTCGCCGTTGCGGCACAGAATCTGCGCCATTGTAACTTTCCGAATCTCTTCTAATTGATTCAATGCGAACGAACCTGGCGTGTTCGCGTTTTCGTACCAATACCTGTCACCTGTGCAACAAATTTAATTACGTTAATGGCAGCGCCCGGCACACGTGTCCTTGTAGTTGTTCACTTACCAAAACGAATGTTGCGAAAAGTGCGACCCAGCAAACAGAGAAATGTCGGCCCCAGGACGGAATCCGACAAAGTTGCCTCCGAAAGTGCTCCTGTCACAAGATCCACGTCTTGCACGTCTCTATTTATGGAACAGTAACGACAGAAAATTATTCCGACCTTTGGCTGCACTTACACGTTAAACGGTGGTATACATATTAATCCTTTGCACTCGAATGGTGACTCTGAGGCACCACTAAAATTTGTTATGTCATGCTTTAAGATAATTTTTATATTATACAAAATTTAGATTTAAAAAATTGTTAATAGTGTAACTGTTGTGCGAGTCCCAAGTGTCAATTTCATGTGCATAAAATGTAAATACTATAGTTAGATACTTTATATTATATATAATATAATATAATATAATATAATATAATATAATATAATATAATATAATATAATATAATATAATATAATATAATATAATATATTATAGTTAAATACTATAAGTTAGAAAAATGAAT